TCTGAACATGCTTCAAACATGTTTAAAACACGTCTAGAACATATTCCTACAGTTTAAAGCACATGGAGCATCCAATGATAGGACTGTTAGGGTGTCCATTGTCGTGGCATCCACGGCCCTTGGGCCAGGGGCACTTCTGGCAACGCCGTGGCCCGAGGGGGGCACAAAGAGGCCCCGCCATGTCCAGCGCGTGCCCAGGCTGTGGGCGCCCGACTGCCGCTACATGCTGGGCGGCGGGAGGGGGGGGGGGGGGAGGCGCGGGAGCGGCGGCCAGGAGCCCGACGCGGCCCAGGCTGGGGCAACCCCTGCCTCCCCCTCCTGCTCCTCCTGCTCCTGCTCCTCCTCCTCCCTTCCTCCTCCTCCTCCTCCTCCTCCTTCAACTTCTCCTCCTCCTCCTGCTCCTCCTCATCCTCCTCCTTCGACTTCTCCTCCGCCTCCTCCTTCTCCTCCTGCTCCTCCTCCTCATCCTCCTCCAACTCCAGCTCCCACTCCAGCTCCAATTCCTTCTCCTCCCAGCTCCTCCACCCTCTCCTGCTCCTCCTCCTGCTCCTCCTCCTTCTCCTGCTCCTGCTACTGCTCCCCTTGCCCGTCCTCCTCCCGGCTCCTCGTGCCACCTATACCCCATGCGGCTGGTCCCGCTGAGCAGGAGGCGCCTTCGTGCCTGCGCAGTGCTCACAATGCGTCGCTCGGGTACGAGCCACCCCAGCAGAAGGGATGTCCTGACAGCAGCAACGGTGGACAGGCGGGCCAGGCTCGAGAGCAGCGGGGACTGGTGAGCAGCGCGGCCATGTGCACCTCGGTGTCTTGCTGTGCAGGGGGTCGTGGCAGTCCAGGCCCACAATGTGTATCTGGCACTCGGCAGGGCGCGATTCCCGAGTAAAAAGTGCGAGGGAGACTCGGATGACGGTTGCCGCATTGGGCGTCCGCAGGGCTGCGGGTTTCCGGGCGTCCTCGGGCTCCTTGGCGCACGGAGCGCGCCGGAGGCGCCGCCATGGGGACCCCCGCGCCGATCCGGGAAATCCGCGCGGACCTTCGAGTTTTTTGGTGCTTCTGCCATTCTTCGTTCCCCTGTTCCCGTTCTCCCCGTGGGTTTCGCGATGTATGAGTGTCTGCTGCGCCCAGGGAGCAGGCAGCCCACGGCTCCCGGATGATGCGGGAGCACCCTCGGTGCGGCGCGTCTCCCGACGCAGCCCCCCCGTGCTCTTGGGGTGCCCTCGCCAGTCCTGGTATCTCTGCGCGCCCTACGGGCGGACTGACTATTTGCAAGAACAGCGAAGTTTTTTTTATACAAAAACATTCAAACGTAGCCAATGCATGATCCCATACTAATCATATCCAGAACCCATTCAAACATATTCAACAATACTCTCACACATCACAACGAAATAGACACCAACATCGCCCACAATTCAGGAAAAAAAACACGAAACAATGCCTCCATGTTGTTTGGGGGCTGGTTTTTGAACATCCCTCCTGCAGAGGGACTCGCCCGGCTTGCCCCTACACCTTGGGCGATGCTTAAGAAAACTTAAGTTTTCGGCCAGAGTCTCGATTATTCTTAATGTTTCACTGTAAATCTTAAGATTTTAATGCAAATGTTGGGTTTTATTCAAGTTCTGAGACTATGAATTTCTTAACCCATGATTTCTTAAGCATTTCGCAGGGTGTACCCCCGCCCTCTCTCCTGCAGGCGGAGAGCTGGGCCCGCGCCCCCCCCCGAGGCGCCCGCGCAGCCCCGCGCGACCCTTCCCCCCCCCCGCCCCCTGTGGAGGCGTGCGGCCTGCCCGGCGTGCTGCCCGGCATGTACGCGGGGGCCCTGGCCGCCTCCAAGTCAAAAGGCCTCCTCGGGCGCGGAGGCAACGCGCGTCGGGGGGAGCGGCAGGGGGGGTGTTCCTCCTCCTCCTCCTCCTCCTCCTC